AAATAACTTGAAATTTTAGACTTCGATTCTTCTCATCAAGGTGCACCTAATAAAAATATTTAAAAAATAATTTGCAATAAATAAATTGACAAAAATACCGTCGAAACTTTTCAGGGGTATTTTGATCAATGTATTTCTTGTAAATTATTTTTTTGATAGTTTTATTAGATTATCCAATTTTGAAGAAGACACTTCTAAAATTTCAAGATATTTGGATTTGTAGAAAAAAAAATTTAAATTCAAATACGCAATGAGGTCGTGACCGTCAAATCGGCCTAGATTTAATCTAGGCCATTAGATTCATATGTTCATATGAGCTAGTGAACTAATCTCATCAGTTTCCTATATATATATATATATATATATCCTATATTTTAGACATTTAGAGTGACACATTAGAGGAGTTAACAAAATGAGTAAACAACAATTTATATTCTTTGGGCAAGTTTATTTAAAGGAAAAAGTTTAAGTGTGAGGCTTTAAACAATCAAATAGGGCGCACCTCAAAAATTTCACTAGAAGAGGTTGTTTTGATACCCAAAAATCCTCAAATCGATCATCTCGACCTCAAGATGCATGGACATGAGAAAAATGGATTTCAAATTTTAGAAATACTGCAGCTTGTAATTCATTTTTGGCCATCAATTTTGAATATTTTCAAGTTTTCATAGATTTGCTTGATCTGCACTATTTTGAAGCTTTTAAATTTTATAATTAGAGATGGAAATATATTTTAAATCTATCATAAAGATTTTTAGTATTGAAACCATATTTCTTATACTATTTGAAGGTATATTTTACTTTGATTATTTAGAGCCCGGGCTTTATACAAAACGCACCCTCATTTGAATGAAAGCGCATTTCCAACACCTTGAGAAAGTTCATTCATCTTTCTTATCAACCTGTGAAAGTGCTTGTATATTGCTTTCACACGGAAAAGGGCGGGACATGGTTTTCTCGCAAAAAGGCCAAAAACTGGAAAGTACTTACCCTATTGATATCCACTTTCCCAAGAAACAAAAATGAAAGGTGACAGTCTTAGAAAAGTTCTCTCCCAAAAAAACACCTCTTGCTCTAGAGTATTCCCCCTATTTCCACCCAAAAAATTGGGGGAAACATAGATCACAATAAAATGTAAATTTGTCTTTTACGTTGACACTCTATTCATATCTATATCTTTAAGTCTAGAGATTTAGTGCTCCCGCCATATCATAATATCTGTTTACTCCCTCAGAGAAAATCCAATCCTGAATTTCAAATTTTAAAGATGTAACATCTTCAACGCACATATTAATCTCAAAAAAAAAAAATATTAAATCGCACTATCTGTGCACTTGAAACAAATACTATCTCGAGATTGAACTGAGATTGTCCAAATTTTTGATGTAAGTGTTAAAAAATTAAGTGGCATGGTTTGTATATCGTTGCAACCTTAAACATTTAAAAGTAAGGAGCACTTCCAAATTTTATCATAAGATGTAATTTTAGTATAAAATATTATTAAGATGGCTTGAAAATCGATTTTCATATCTAATTATACAATTTTAAACTCCCAAAATAGTTCAAATCAAGTAGATAGACATGAAATTCTTGAAAATGAATGATCCAGATAATGTGTTGCAAATGTACTATTTTTTGGACTTAGAAATTTTTTTTTTTTAATATTCATACATCTCAATATGCCAACGATCAATTAGATGATTTTGTAATATCAAAACAATCTTTTTTTGATGGATTTTTGCATCTTAATAGGTTTGCAACCTAATATAAACTTTTTCGAAATTAAATTTCATATTTTTGTCTTCTAAAAATAATCATTTAGAGATTGTCATGTAATTTCAAAACCTAAAAGATATTCTACTCCTACAAGAGTAGAATGTCCATTTACTCCCTCAAGTAAAACACCACTTAAAATCAAATTTAAGACCCCAAATTTTGGATATGTATCCTCTTCAACCAATAGATTAACTTCAATAAAAAAATTTCCTAATTGTACCTTCTATATGCACTTGAAAAAATAATGTTTTGAGATTCAAAAAGACAATAATGAGATCTAAGTGTCATAAAACTCTAATTCCAATTTTGTTTTACAATAATAATCTGTAACTCTTAAGTAATCCTCAAATTTAAAAATTGACAAAATCTCAAACTATGTCTTTTCACCAAGGGGAGGGAATAGAAATAACCATGCTCCAGAGTGAACATTTGAAAAAAAAAAAAAATAGTTAAAAAATCCTCATTCTAACCAAGGGAGTAGATAGACAGTGTGCTCCCGCATAAGCATGGTATACCATAATCAATAAATGATGCCTTCGCTTCGCTCACAAGTAACATAACCACTTTCCACCTAGAAACCAGGTTGTCGTCCTCTCTCTCTTCAAGTGAATCCCACCCCCTTCTGCATTTTTCTGCATTTATTCCCATCCTTTTCAAACTCGTCAATAAAAGTGCCCGTCCTCTCCTTTACGGATTTTCTAGAGACGAGATCGATAGATGAGGAATTGAAGTTTGAAGGAGAGGAAGGAGAAGAGGGATAAGTACAGGTAACACTTTTTATTCCAAATTTTAATTCATTTGGATCGAAATATGTACTTCGTGCATTTGGAGAAAGGAATAGGCTTCTAGGGTTTGTTTTGGAGAGAGAGAGATGTCGTTAAAGTCATTTATAACCAATCTGTTTGTTTGTTACGCAAAGAGATTTCACCTGAATTTTGAAGCATTTTTTTTCGAAATTCATGGGATTCTTAACAAGGATCTTGGATGGATCGGAGAAAGGCTTTTTGATGAGCTTTGGATGGGATTCTAGAGGGAATTAATTGAAACCTTACAAATTCACCAACCTTTCCTTAATGTGGAAACCTCTTTCTCGGATTACATGGCACCAATTTCTTCAAAAAAGTGCTATTTGTGTTTGATATGGTTATTATTGGTGCGCTAATTTCTGAATCTTAGATGCATTTTTTATATATATATAGATTTTAGGTATTTTCCACTCAAATCTGATGTATATCAATCGGAATTAAACTATTGACACAAGCTGTAGTATGAAATAATGTATCAAAATCCAACTTGATAACAACCATTGCATCTCATATGTTTAATCTTATTCTGAAATGATTCTAGTGAAATCTGTTGTATAACTTAGGAAAAAAGAAGTATTATAGATTTGTGAAAAGATTGCAGTTCTTGTATGATTAGTTTGCAAGCATGCTATCAAATTCGCTTCGTTTTGGCCTCTTAGGCCAAAGCCTTTGGATTTTAGGCAAAAACCGAAGAGAAGCGAAGAACGGTGTTGCCTCGTTGGTCAGATTTGGACCGCTTCGGTCAGATTTGGACCGCTTCGGGTATGTTCGGGTCTCCTGCGGCCAGCAAAAAAATAGATATATAAATGTATTTTAAAAAATATTTTTTATTTTAATTTTTTCCATTATTTGTATATGTTTTGTATATAAATATCTAATTTATTTATATATATATAGGAAGATACTACAAAACGTCTATAGGCGAAAATGAACAGTGATCTCGCCTACCTTCATCATCGTCCAAAGTTCATCGTACAGTCACGATTGTCCGGTAGTGTTTTATTTTTCATTTCTTTTCTATAAATCGGAATGATCTGATTTCTCTCTCTATTTGTGTGGATATGGTATAATAGAATGCAGTGCAAGACTCAGTGCAAATGATGCAGACATTAGGCGGCTGGGGTGATGCTAGCACACCGTTGGGAACCTAACACTGCCAGCATTGTATTCAAACCCAAGCACAAAGAAACACACATGCACACACACACATAGACAGATAGATAGATAGATGGAAGAGGGGAGAAGGGGGTCGGGGGAATGGGGTTCCTCTTGTACCTTTGTACTTTTTATGCTATCGTAATGCTGATTGTTTTTGGACTTTTTTGTCTGCAGGAATTTCTTCTAAAATCTGAGGCTTGTTGGTTTGGCTAGAAACTTTGATGGATCCATCAAATAGTCCAGGGGAGTTTGATTATTTATTTAAATTGTTACTTATTGGAGACTCAGGAGTAGGCAAGAGCAGTCTCCTTTTGAGTTTTACATCTGATACTTTCGATGATCTTTCTCCCACAATAGGTATGAAAAACTACTACTATTTGTTATTTTGCGTATAAATTGAAACTCCTCTTTATTTTTAACGTTTCTAATGGACAATTATTTTACTATCATGGGTATGTGCATCACGATATTTGTTAATATCTTGGGCAATCAAATTAATTTATATTGATTGTGAAAGATAGAGTAAATTATGTTCTAACTGTATGAAAAGGTTTTTGAAGTTCCTGTGTTGATTTCCGTTGATTTAATACAAAATTTACCACCTCTTTCTCTGCTAAACATGTTTGGATCAGTTTCCGTTTTGAGTTCTATAAAAAGGCCATGTTATTGTGTTTAGGGTTCAAACTGGTCTTTTCTAATACCTTTCACACACAAAGTGACAGCGAGTCTTGTGTCTGTACATGCCTAAAAAGGTCTAGAAGATGTCTTCACCAGAAACCAGTGAAACACATTCCCGATATCAACAAAAAAGCTGCCGAAACATCATAGTGCAAGTTTTTCTTGGCATCCGACAAAGCCTTATTTTGTGTTGTGAATTGCTACAGTGTTGTAGTGTTCATTATTTTGTAGAATCTACTTTAAGTTGTGGGAGAAAAAGCAAATGAAAGTAAGCAATAAAATTCACTCTAGAAAACTAAGTAAGGGTATTTGCATAACATCCAATGGTGAATCTCCTCCCCAGGTGATAATCCCAACAATGAATTTGCAGGAAATTGTAGCTCTTAGTTGTTTGCAAAGAGAGATTTGTATCCTTTTTATAGGATATTTCCTTTTTCATTTTTAATTAATTTAGAATGTTTCCTATATCCCTGAGCATGACAGTGTTTCCATGCATAAACCATGTGGGTCAATGTCTCAATCTGTTTGAGAGTTTAGAGACTTCATGTGTAGTCCCATGGGCTCCAACAGGGCTGTTTCATCCAATTTCCTTCCTCTTAAGCAACCCCATAGCAGCTACATTGTTAGCATGATGAACCTTTAGAATGCTTATTTTATTTTATTTTTTATTATTTGAATGCTTATTTTATTAATGTGGTTAATTCATGTTTGAATACATCACTAAATATCTACATTCATAAGGTTTATATCCTCAGTGGAATTATTTGACAGCAATTTTTTCCAGAAAGCCCTCTAAAAATCCATTGGATTGGTGAGTCCCTCCTAATCCATCTGAAGTCGCTTCCTAATGTTAGATATTGACTCGTGAGAAACTGCCACTCACGATATGAATTCTAATCACACATGCATTTCTTTTAGTACAAATTCATTTCGTGTTGTGTTGGTAGGCCAGTGCAATTCTTTAAGACAATACCAACTCAGTAATCGAGTAATGCAGACTTGGATTTGGCTTAGTGACACTATCAAATATCTGAGGAAGGAATCACCCAAATTTTTGGTCGCCTCTCTGCTCAAAAAAATATCTGAGAAAGGAATCACCCAAATTTTTGGTGCTCAAACTTTGCAGATTGTTCTTACCCATGAATTTTGAGGACCTATCAGTTTTAAATCATCCATTCTCTGTCCTTGCTACGATCCAAGCATTTATTTGTTAATTTTCTCAACCCATCTCTGTGTCCACTTCCTTTAGTAGAAATTTACTATCTATATCTTTCCAAATTCTCTTGAAAATTGCTAGATTGCATTTCATCTCACCCCTCAAATTCATCTCATCTCTGCCCAAACATGCAATAAATTCATGAATAAGTAAGGCTTTCACTTCTACACTGGCAAACGCTGGCATATCATACCATCCCAGGGGGACAGACTATTAATACACTAACTCACTAACCAAGAAAAAATTGTTTCCTCCTAGAATTAAGTGGATGCCAGGCTAAGAGAAGACTTTAAGTCGTAGGTGTTCAGTGGTAAGAATTTTACTTCTGCATAATACCTAACCTTTTTCCCTTTCCCTTTTTTCCTGTTTTTATGATTTCATTCTTCATGTTTCTTAATTCCCTCTATTTTCTTTTTTTATGAAGTTTAAAAAGCATAGACAAGGCACGCATAGCCAACTCAGAAATTGGTGAGTCGACCTGCCTTGAGGACAGGGCTGAGTCCTTGTGTTAATACACTGATCTTCAGCAAGGGTTAAAAGGGATGTGATCCTACAGGCAATACTCCTAAACTCCTCCTTGTTCAAGCCCATAGCATCTTAAATCTTCCAATGGTGCATACATTACTCTTTCCGCTCCTTTTGCAATCATTTGAGCAAATTTAGGCTGGACTCCAGGCAACCACACCCTTTTCGGTTACAAGTGCCTAGTGCCTACATTCTTGCCAACCTTCATTTCTTCTTTCCAAGATTTGTAGCCATCACTTTTCTCTTGGTCAATGTTCCCCTTTGTTTCTATGTCACCAAGGTACAGCTTAATCTTCCACCCCTTTGACCTTCAAAATATTTCACCTGAAACCACCTTCTTCCCTTCTCCCCTTTTAGGCAAGAGCTCTTGTTCCTCCCCTGGAGTTTATCCTTATTAAAAATTGTTTCCATTTGTGACCTTACTTTAGAGCTACTTCTCCACTAGATCTTTTAAAATGGTTGGTAGCTTCAACTACGATCCTGGTGATATGTAGCACCATCCGAGTGTTGTAACTTTTTCAAGTCATTAACTTATTAATTGCACTGAATTGGAGGACCACTTGAATCCAGCTTTGGATGGGAAGATCATAAGCCCATACTTGGTGCCAGCTCCATTTGGATTCTTCTACCTATGTCTGGTTCTTCTACAGTCATAACTTTACCCAAATAAGCCAGCTTGTTTGGTTTGCTTCCATATAAACATCCCTTCTATCCCCACATCCATGTGGTGAAATCCATCATTTATAAAACTGATCAAGGCTCTTCCCCTAGTCTCCAATGCCTCTGCGCACACTTCTTGAAAGATAGGAAATTCAGACACAACAATTCAATGCTAGAGAGCCTTCCTTGTGAATGATAGACCCCTTCCCTGGGCGTAAGAGAGTGCAAATGTCCTCTGCCAAGAGGCTCCCCTGAGAGTTGAACAGAAGGGAGCCGAGCCTCTTCATCAGGAGAGACAGGTTTGGCGTCTTGTGATACGAGAACCATGAACAGGGTTCATCTTCTTTTTAATTTTTTTTTGGTTACCATGAGGTCTTGGGCATGAGGGCCTTCCCCATTGAAGAAGAGCCATGAGCAACTGAAGCTGATTTCATTGTCTTCATTACTCTTGAATTTGAAATCATTCTGTTTGTTGTTTTTATGGGAAAGCATTCTGTTTTGCACCCTCTCTAGTGTGCGACCTTGACAAATATTGTCAATAAATTCTACTTCAGTATTACTGGCAGTTCTTTCCATACTTGTTTTGTATTACTGCTCTTCGTTGCCAGCTTAGCTTCCTGATTCGTGACTATTATTATTCATTTCTGTTCTTTGCTTAGGTGTGGACTTTAAAATTAAGATGCTCACTCTTGGAGGGAAAAGACTGAAGCTTGCAATATGGGACACAGGTAAGGTGCTTGTGGTTGTGTTTTGTGGATGCAATACTTTGTTAAGATCCCATTTTCATTCTGTTTGCTGCCACGAGAGTGGCATAAATTAGAGCCTATACCTTGGCTTGCTTAGTTTCAATGTTATCTTTCTGTAGCATCGCCCAAATATTTGCATGTTGAGCAAGTAGAAAGATGAATTGCGTCTTTTTTTTTGTATATTTTTCAGGTTACTCACTGATGAAAATGTATTGTTTTATGGTTTTGTAAATATTAGGTGGATGCGTGAAACTTGGGCAATTTTGATGCAGAACACCTTATGAGCTAATTATCAGTGTGTAATTGTGATTTAAGTTCCAAATTAGGATGACATTAATTGAAAACTTTATTGTACCTAAAGTTATGCCAGATCACTTGAAGTTTCGATGGCTTTTGAAAATGCTAATTGAGATACCACCATTTCTTTGCAAATGTACCGACCATACAGTTGCACAAACAATAGTGCTTCTAATGATAAGTGTCATCAAGCTTGAGCAATGGACATTCTCACCAGCCTAACAACTCTCGTGAAGAAACTTTGTCGATTTCATATTGCCCTTACTTACAGAAACGTGATTTATCAGTTTCTAAGGCCTCTTTGGATGTTGACCTAAACCACATCTTGGGTTGGGGCTGCATTTTAGGTGCCAGCCAAAATGTATGTCGGCGGCTTCTTTGGGTGCCACTTTATGCACGCTTTTAGGTTTGCACCCACTCAAGAAACACTGCTGTTGTGAGATAAAAGAGAAAATACCTTTTTTATCCAAAGCTCAAAAAACACCGCATTTTAATGAAACTGAGACAACTAGTTTACCAGAACACATGTTGCAGCCAAACTACGACATATATAATCTCTTCAATAATCCAAACCATAATTACAGATGATATTTTATCTCTTCAATTTCAAAAGGAGTGGAACCAGCACGTCAGATATGGTCTGACCCAGGGGTCTTCATTACATGCTTTGTCCACATGGTCAAGGGCCCAATTCTGGTTAGAATCTATCAGACCCTTCAGTCTGATCTGGCCTAATTTCAAGGCCAATGACTGTCCATATGTAGGAAATTGGATGTACAGTTCCATTTGTTGGTAATATGGGACCTGTTGGGAGATTCTCTAGTAGGCTACACATTCTGCAAAGGATTTTTTGGTAGTGAATTGTTGTTCCTTTTTTTTTTTTCTTTTATCTTTCTTGGATTTCATGAAAGTTACTGCCCTTCATCCTTCTCTTTTTATTACCTTTACATGTGCAAGGGTCATGAATGCCAACTATTCATAAATTCCTATTTCTAATTAGAAAGCAACATCCTGTTTTCCCGATAATTGGAAAGATCTCTTAGTTGTGTGTGTTCTTAGTTGCAAAGGGTACAAGATATATAGTTTTTCCAGAAACAATTATCTTCAAAATCAGTCTCAGGATTGAATTTCCTTGTTGATATTTCAGCTGGACAGGAGAGATTCAGAACGTTAACCAGTTCATACTACAGAGGTGCTCAAGGAATTATACTTGGTGGGTCTTCTCTTCTTTTGTTTTTTTTCCTTATTTATTTCTATTTTGTTTATTGTTTGTTTAAATTTCTTTTTAATTTTTAATTTTTCTTTGGAACATCTTCCCCTGAAGTTTTGTGATTACAAGTGTATATTGATGTACAAATTTATGCCTCAATAAATCAAGTTGTAGATCTCTATTATAAACAAAAGAATAGTAACTTATGACTTCCGCGTTTGTATTTTTTTATTTTTGTGAAGTACCAAAACTTGTGGCAATCTTTTTCATTACATTTATATAATAATCAGTGTTTCAAAAAGTGGACCGCCCAGCGTCTGGGTGGCCGCCTAGGCGGTCCAGAAGTCTTGGGCGCATCGCCCAGGTCTAGGCGGGTATCCTTGGGCGCCCGGGAACCCGCTTAGGTGGCCGCTTGGGCGGCCGCCCAGGGCCTTTGCCCCACCCAGGGGCGGAAATGCCGCTTGTTGAGGCCATTTTTTTTGTCATTATGGGTCATTTTTTTTAATATTAAAGGTGAAAAATTGTGGTTTTTAGGTTTCAAATGAACCTAAAACCCATTGAAGGATATTTTAGAGAGAGAAAACCCGAAAAAAATAAAAATTACTGGGCCACCTAGGTTCTGGGCGGCCTGGACCCCCCCGACCGCCTAGGTGCCGGCTAGCGCTTTTTGAAACACTGGTAAGAATCATAATAATATACTCAATCCAAGGATCCTGATTTAATGGAAGATCGATCCCTTGTTGAAAGCCTCGCTATGAATTATAGCATATGGTGGATCCCATACTATTAGAACCACATATTGGTGGAATCTGGCTGCAGTATACGTATGGTTCCTGTGTTACAATGTAATAGAATCTGGATCCCATGACACTCAGGACTAAGAACCCTAACACACAAGAACTAGAATACTGGATCCCATTGAAGTATGGATCTCATTCACATGATGAACAGAACTCAATCCCTTGAAGAAGGGATCGAGATCCAAAATTCTAAAACGTAGATCCGTAGAAGACCCCTTTTCATGATCCTAAGATCAAGCTTCCGAAGTGGATCGCCAGCCAAAGACCAGGCGATCCTAGTATTTTTTTTTTTTGGGGGGGGGAGGGGGGGGGGGGATCAGTTTTTATAAAAAAAAATATTGAGAAGACAGAGCATTTTAGGGTTTGTAATTTTATTTTTGGATTATAGATCAACATGGAATAATTTTATTTTGGAACTTAGGCTGACATGGAATAATGTTATTTGGGAACTAGATTGACATAGAATGCTGAATTAACGTAACTTGGGCTAATGCTTGGAGGCGGAAGCTACTTATCAATATCCACAACCTCGAAATTCCTATTTCATTTTAAACGAGCGCTCAAAATCTCTTCAGCTACAAAAGGACTTTCATGAATTCGACCCTCAAGGAAAAGACTGGATGCACCTCTGTCTACTGAGAGGGAATTCCAGCTATCACAGTTAATGAATCCATATTACTTATATATACTTATATATAGGAAAAAGTTTAAATAGCGTTGCAACCTTAAAATGTAGAATTACAAATGCACCTTAAAAATCCATTGGAAAATGTTGTTTTAATGTTGAAAAGACCTCTAATTGATCATCTCGACATCGAGATGTGCGAATATGAAAGAAAAAAAGATTTTGAGTCCTAGAAATAGTGCACCTTACAATACATTATCTAGACCGTCCATTTTCAAGATTTTCGTATGTTTATAGACCTGCTTGATTTTAACCGTTTTTTGAGTTTAAAATTTTAGAATTAGATATGAAAATAGATTTTGAGATGATCTTAAGAATTTTTTTTACCAAAATTACATGTTATGATAAAATTTGGAGGTGTGCCTTAATTGGATTGTTTAAGGTTGCAACCTTATAAAAACCACACCCATATATATATATATATATATATATAGGAAGATATTAGGGTGAGCCCACTAGCTCACATGAAAAAATGAGCCCACCAGCCTAGATTGAATCTGGGCCGATCTGACGATCACGGATGTCCGGTAGTGCTTGAATTTTAATTTTTTTTTCTACAAATCCGAATCACTTGAAATTTGGAGAGTGTGTACATCAAAAATAGATGAATCTTTGAAAAATATCAAAAAAATATTTTACATAAAATAAATTGATCAAAATACCCCCAAAAAGATTTTGGAGGTATTTTGGTCAATTCTTTTTTCACGAATTATTTATTTTTATTTTTATTAGGTGCATCTTGATGAGAAGAACACACGCTTAAAATTTCAAGTGATTTGGATTTGTAGAAAAAAAATTAAAATTAAAATACTATCAGTCATATGTATATATATAATATACTGTGAGACCATTTACTATTGTTACGAGGAGGTCACAATCATTCCTACCCATTAGATGTCAAATTGGATGGCTTGGGGTATGTTAGAAAGTTCGAGATTTTTTATTTTTTTTAAAAAATTTTGAGTTTAATCAATGACACACCTACAACCAACAATTTAACATTTGATGGACAAGAATGATTGTGAAATCCTTGTAATAAAAATAAATGGTCTTTTTGTATATTTTTCTACACACACACACCCATATATATATATAGGAAAATGCTGAGATTAGCCCACTAGCTCATGTGAACATATAAGCCCAACGGATTTGACGGTCACGACCTCATTTCGTGTTTGAATTTTAATTTTCTATATACAAATCCAAATAACTTGAAATTTTAGGTGTCTATTCTTCTCATCAAGGCGCACCTAATAAAAATATTAAAAAAATAATTTGTAATAAATAAATTGACCAAAATACCTCCAAAACATTTCAGGGGTATTTTAGTCAATTTATTTATTGTAAATTATTGTTTTGATATTTTTATTAGATTATACTATTTTTGAAGAACACACGAGTAAAATTTCAAGTTATTTAGATTTGTAAAAAAAAATTAAAATTCAAATACGAAATGAGGTCGTGACCGTCAGATCGGTCTAGATTCAATCTGGGCCATTGGGCTTATATGAACTCATATGTTTATATGTTCATAAAGAGAGAGAGAGAGAGAGAGAGAGAGAGAGAGAGAGAGAGATGACAATCCCCACACTAATATCCTTTCATTTTCTTGATAAGGGTTATATTATGTTTATTACCCCACACTGATATCCTTTTTGCAAACCGGATCCTTTCACATGGAGATTTGTGATTTAGAGGGGCTGCTCTTAGTCTGTGCAGATAAAGTTCAGGGATGCCAATCCCCCTTAGGCAGAACAAAGCATATGGATCAAGGCTATTGGTATTCTTTGCATGCTTGGAATGAGGATGTATTTACAGCTGTGGGCGGGCAATGTCTGCGGATGAAATATTATGCTAGATTGTGACTCTATACCAGGAGAGTGGTTCGGATAGTCAGAATCAACATAGGACCCTAAATCCAGCCTCCATCTCACAGCTTATTCTGCTAATCCTAGATAACCAAGAATTACACAATCTCTGTTATGGCAGAAGTTTATGAGGGATCTATCATACCTCCCCTGACAAGTGCAAACCCCAAGCCAAATAACGAACCACATACAAAAAATGCCCGTGCTCTAGTCAGGAGTGGAAGCTTGTTGTCAAAAGACGGGCCAAGAAGCAGATGCAAGGTAGGGAAAGATATCAGGAAAAGAGAGGAAGACCAGAAAAACTGGCCAAGCAAAGAATGCCTACTGGGATCCAAGTCATATAGCTGGAACGAAGATCCCACAGATCTTCTTTATAAATCTCAATGATACTGCACCAAAACCACGATCTGTAGAGGGTACATAAAATCAGAGAGTATGAATGCATGGATCTTCACCCTCTCACTATGCGCCATGACAATCTTACAGTTGAGAATGAAGCTGTTGCTGGCCAAGTTCATCTGTGGGCCCAGATTGACAGATCTGGACAAGTTCATATGTGCGCTCAATTGACAGATCTACATCCATTCTAGAGAGCAGAGCTCATCTGAAGGGTCTGATTGAACAGATCAAGGTTCATCCCAATGTCCATCTCCATCAGGGTGGAGAATAATCCATCACATGGTTGTTGGGGGCAGGGGCAGCAGCAGGAGCAGGGATCATTGCTTGTTAGTAACCTAGTCTGAGACGGCCATGAGGGCACCTTACAATAACTATATGAAACTAGAAAAATTTAAAAATAAAAATTAGTTGTAAATTTCTTTTTGAAAAACATTTAGATACAAAATTGGTATAATAGGAATATCTTTAAAAAATCATATAAAAAAAAAATTAGTGAAATAAAACTTGAGAGTAACAAGTAATATTTATTTACTTGAGTCTTCTCATAATATAAGCCCTTCACAATAATATATTAGAGATATTCATTTGATGTTACATCGCAATGATAATAAATATCCTTCATTTAGCTCAAATTATATACAACTCTTGTCCTTTTCTTCACATTTCTCATTCATTTAATTAGAAAAAAAAAACTAAAGCATGAGGTAAATTGATAGGAAAAGATTCATCTGTCCATATTCAGAAGTAACCACCATGCGAACAGATCCCAGCCCCACCCCCCCCCTCCCCACACACACACACAGCCGCACCTAACCCCCAATCCATCCAATCCATCTCGACCATAGACCAAAACCGAACCCCAATCCTCTCTAACAAAACCTAATGCACTCAACAAAGCCCCATGTAACCTAACCATGCTTATTTCAGTCATCAAGGCCATAAGAATGCTAGCCAAACCAGATTTCATTTGCCTAACAAATCCAATTTTTGTTTCTGGGTCCAAGTTCAGAAAATATCAAACCATAAAGAATCCTAACCCCAACATTAGATCACAGTCCCAAATATTCAACCTTTTTTGGCATCAACTGAACCTAATATGTGCAAAATCCTTGCCTGACATGAACCCAATCCTCTGCAGAACCCAAAAACTCTAGACTGGTGTAAATTAAAGAAAAATACGTGGCTGAGGTGAATGAAGCTGAATTAAGAAGCACTACATGATATATTCTATGCCCTTGATTCACATCAATGTTTCCTGCAGCTAATTTGGTCTAAGTGGGCTGTCCAAGGGTTAGACCAGGTTTCGCCATAGATTTTAAATGGGGTGCTTGTGGCTGCTCTGAGAGATGTGATGTTGGTGAACTCTCATATGGAATCAGCAGTAAATACTTTCAGTACTGCACAGGATGAATCCCAGGCTAGTTCTTCCTCTGTAAGGACCAAGTGTTTATCTCCCGTACAGCCTTTGTGATCTATTCCATGAGGAGATGAAGTGGTTCTTATACCTATTGCACTGTCTTCCTGCCATAACAGCAGATGAGCTGGCATAGTTGAAAATGAGGAACATGCAGTTGATGAGGAATACTCAATTCAGAAATCCACAGGTTTGGAAGAAAGGATAGCATGAAAAGAACTAAACAAACAAAACATAATGAATATGATGGTCATGGGTCTCTCATATGAGGAGTTGGACGGCATAGCAGTGGCCTTCAGATCAAATGATAAAAGGAAAAAGGCTCAAGGAGTCAGGAATTGAGAAAGATGTCTGTAATATTTAACTACAACAGACCTGCTCCAATGCCTGTGCCTCAGGAAGATCGAAGAACAGCAGCATGGCATAAACCACCCTGTCAAGAATGAAGATCTTGCACGGAATGTGAAGGGCCTGGGGGACCTGTACAAGCAGAGATCTACCAGAAATTGTTCTCAAATACTGAAATCTTTGCTATTGTTGTCACAAGGAATATGCACTATCTATAACCGAGGTTTAAGGGATATGAGGAAGAAATTCTGCTCAGTGGAAGGCAGTACCCTTATTTGGTGCATCAGACGGCATATGGGTTTTATGGAATCTGCCTGTTGGATGTCCCTCTCAATGTACTTGTTCCAATCACTCTAAAAACCCAATCTAAGTAAGCTAGATAAATTCCTAGTATTCCCAGACTTGGAAGCCCAGTCATGTTTCACCCACTCCTATGGCCTTCAAAAATCAATTTTAGACCATGTACCAATCATCCTAGATACATGCTGAAGAATAACAATGAATATCTAGAAGAGCTCAGGGAATCTAAGTGTTTTTTTCTAGTCAACATCATGATTCTCATTCTATCGGTTTCTTTATAGTAAATCAAAAAATTGTTATCTTGTCCTGCTAATTTGACCAAAAAGTTATTACTTCCAGGTCTAACTAATTGATCAAATTTTATGAAAAGTAAGGAAAAGGGCATCCTTCTTCCATTAACTTTACCTGATCTGGTTTTAGGAGATATAGAACAGTCGTATCTAGTGTTACATGGGCACCACCAACATGAGGTGTTAGTTTCTCCGAGTGTCATAGGCATCTAGTACTTTGGCCTAAAAAACCAATATAATTTGTACGCCCATACATTTATTTTTTTATAAAGAAAATGTTGTATTTTCTATAATGTATGTTCTAGCTTTCCCTTTTTAGCATTAACCATTTGGGTGGAGAGGCATTAGAATGAACTAAAGAAGCTCAAAATGAGCCGATATCGAGCCCCTTCATGTCTTCCTAATTTATTTTTTGATGTTGGTATATGTATCTAGTGTCCCCACGTGTCGACATGTGTCAACATATCGACATTGACACAAGGCCAAAGGCCACATGTTGCAGTAACTCTGATCAATCTCTAAGGATATGGGTTCTTAACCTAGCATATGAAGCTTTCTCTATATCCCTAACTTACCTATTGAAAATAAAGGGTTTTCTTACTTAAAATGGGTATCTTTTCATCTCTGAATGAAGAAAAACTGGATACTGTTAGAAATGCCAAACCTCCACTGTATTAGATCACTATCATCTATACTAAAGAGGTTCTAGCAGTACAGGATACACTCATCATCATCCATGATGACTAAGATAGGAATATTTTATTCTTTTTGTTGTTTGGGTAATCTCCTGGGGAATGTTCTTTTTTCTTTTATTCTAGAATATTTTTCTGGTAAATTCTGCTTATTAATGCTGGCTGATTTGCAAAGGTATGAGATTGTATGATACTGATGGTTGGTGAAGAAGTTTCCTCAGTACGATTATTCTCATACCTTTCTTCTGTAGCTGGGGATTCATAATTCTTATTGCACAGACAGTCTTTTACTCATGTAGCTGTCAAATCAGTAAAATCATTTTGATTATTTTTTCTTTTTACCTTTCTTCTTTTATGATTACACTGAAGTTGTTCTGCAGTTTGTTTGATCATAGCATCATTTGTTTGTAATTCTTGCAGTATATGATGTTACCAGGAGAGAAACATTTACAAACCTGTCAGATGTATGGGCAAAGGAAGTGGACCTATATTCCACTAACCAGGACTGCATCAAGATGCTTGTTGGGAATAAAGTTGATAAGGTAATTCTCATAGAAAGAGATAACCAATTTTTGTTTTTTTTTTGGCCAAGTGAAAAGAATTGCCTACTGCCTTTACTTAATAAGGGAGTTCAGTAGTTTATGGCTTTCAGCAGTTGGCCGGAATTGCATTTGTTTTGGTTGATTCTCTATGTGCAATGATCCTTATTCTGTTTTTGACACAACTGCTAATGATCCCAGCTCTATCTTAATCATCAAACTACATAGTGTGATGGGTTTTGATATGCATAGGGGCCTACGTGATATTTGAAGCTATCACCCATTGGAGCCATAGCAAATCCAATAAAGCAAGCTATCACGTGAGTTCCAGTATGTACCTGGTGGTTGGACTAATATAAGCTACTAAGATGGGAATTGCACACATAAGAACATAGGAGAGTTACTGTAAATAAATGTACACCCAAAAATGTACACCCAAAAAGGGTAGTAAACCAATTCTTTTGAAAAAGGTTAGGCGACAAAAAATGAGAATGCCTTTATATTAGCAGTTCAATTGCCTCAAAATGAGCTTGCGGACAAAAGATTATTTCCTTTTGGGGCCTTGTGCAATAATTTCCCTACAGAAGCTCTGTTTCAAGGCCCGAACTGGGACTGCTACTTAACCATTGCAGCTTGGTTATTGGAATGGTTCTTCTTTTTGAGTGAGGTGTCTAAATAACACTAGTCCACCACGGGGCATGTGTCTAGCTGCAAAAATTTTCAGTTGGAGAAATTTCAGCTTTGAAAAGGTGAACACTGATTTCCTTAATATAACTTGGTGGAAGACCAGTCTGCCAAAAGAGCAGTGTTGCTTGTGCAATCGTTTTGGAGAATGCAATCTCCGGAGTTCATTAGCTCAATCCCAATATATTCTATCATTCCTCTATAAAGGGTTTCCTCTTGTACTTACTTGAGAGGTTTTATTTATGACAATGGGTAGGTGATCTTTCCCTCTGATTTACCTAAAACGACATTCCTACAGAACCTCATTTTGACCTTTGACAAGTTCCTCTTCAGGGATGGGGTATTCACATGATAATAACTTTCTGGGTGGCACCCACATGATAGTATCTTTCCAGGTGCTATGGATGACTTTTTTCTCACTCGACATGACAACCCTAAAGTATGGTTCTTCATCACCTTACATATGCTTGCTTGAGAGGGAACTCCTCACTTGCCTGCAACCCAATTCAGGCTTGCACAACTCCATGATGCAAGAAGTTTGCATTCATTCATAATCCCATAGTGCCAAGTACTCACCTTGAAAGAAAGTTCATGTTTTATTACATACCAGGTATGGTGTTGAAGTCTGTGATCAAGGTGTACTGAATCCTCACTGTTAACTGAAACAGGCCAAAGAATCTTCGACAATTTTGTTAGGCTAAACCTTTCTTGTAAGAGGTATGCCTTTCATTTCCAAATGGAAATATCCAACTCGAACTATTTGCTCAGGATCAGCTACTAATTTCATACTTGAAATTGGATAAGGATTCCTTGTGATCGTGTCGACAGTATTAAAATCTTGCTGCTTCATCAGCTTCCTCATCTTGATCTGTTCTGAGAGCCAACACATTGGATACTCGATCCTCCTTGCCTAAACACTTTGTTACACGCATTATCTCATGAAATATTTTAGTCCTGGGGGAATTTGAATTGCTGAAGATAGTTTGGGACAACATTTATTTTCTAGAAGCTCTATCGCTTTTCTTTTGCTAGGAAATCAGCTTTGAAAACTCAGCCAACATGGATCATATGCATGTGACTAGATTATTCTCCAATATCGTCTCTCTCATGCTTACCCAAAAATGAGCCCATTTCCGGAGCCCCTTCGCATTGATCAGTTGTTGCAGCCCACCTAAAGAATTCTTTCTTCGCCCGTTTCTCCTGATCTTCCTGGAGCTTTGGATATGTGGTTCTCTTCTCATTACACTAAGTGGTCATCTCTACTTAAGCATTGCCATTATAAATTCTTGTTTTAATGCTTCTATATCACTGCCATAGGCATTTGATAATAATGCTTAAGCTAGAGAGGAAGGCCATCCAATATATCTTTGAACGAAACCATTATGCCTTTAATTGACAAAATCTTATCGTTCCAACCTCCTTATCACCTCCATGCTCACTTTAGAACTGGTGCTCTAACTTGCTTCCTTATAATTTCTTGAGCAACATCCCCCACAACTTCCTCATTTTGCTTCTCCCTGTTAACTTTTGGCATGCCCGATATGGCTCAAGTCACATGTCCAACCTCGGACTCATTAGATACTTGTCCTAAGGTTCTGAGCAATGACTCATTCCCAATGAGAGTATCTCAACTCCTAAGATAGAGAGATTGATCCCCTAAAGCATCCTCAAGCACCAGTATATGACCCACAAAATGCAAATAAGAGACCTTTATTGTTCTGGCTCCAGGTTTAGAATTCTTCAATACCCTAGCATCTGTCACCTCATTCAAATTGTCAGAAATAACTTAATAAAGAGGGAGGCTGAAAACAGGTTGTCTTAACATCCTGCTCTTTAGTTAAGATTTTGGGAAGAGGATCAATAGTAGTTATTAGAGGAATTCAATCAATCATAGTTGTTAGAGGAATTCAAGTTTTATTTTGACCAGTCCAGCTGTTTCCATTGATGTACTCCCATATAGATAACATAAATGGCATTTCCCATTTCGATGCTGATCCAAGATCTACTTTAAGCAAGCAACTATTGGCCTTCCTAGTTGTGATCAACTCCAATTGTTACCAAGGAACCATCGGATATGTGCCTACCTTCAAGTTAGGCCTAGCACTATGGTGGTATGACCTCCTTCCAGCTTTGTGTTGACACTTCAGGTTACAATCGGGTAAAGACACCCTGTTCTCTTTCAACCCGTATTTCTAAACTTGAAGTGATGATTGTATTCATCCCAGTATCATCTCTATGTATGCATGAAGTATTTGTGCTCTTTATTTATGTTACTCGTTAAACTTCTCGAAATGGTTAAGAAACAGTGTGTATCACCACCTTGTCTTGATGATTGTCCCAAAAAGCATTTTCTAGCCGCACAGCAGAGCTGAACTAATGGGTACAACCACTATCTACTTGTTAAGGACACCAACAGTGTTGATAGTCATATGAAGTAGGCATAGGTCAGTTTTTGTCCAGTTAGCCCTTTGTTTTCTTTTATAAACAAATGCACCTGTCAGACCTGATGGAGATTTTGTTGATGATGATACATTTTTTGAAAGATTGTGTCATGCTTTTTTTTCATTATCATCAATTCATGTTATTCAGTATAATATCAACATGAACCTCTCTATATTCTGGAAAATGAGGGCAGTTCAGGTTTTGAACCAATACTTGTTTTTTGTGTCTTCAGGAGAGTGAAAGAGTTGTGACGAAAAAGGAGGGGATAGCCTTTGCAAGGGAATATGGTTGCCTTTTCATTGAATGCAGTGCAAAGACTCGTGTTAATGTACAACAATGTTTCGAGGAGCTTGTCTTGAAGGTACTCATGGTCTTCAGTGAATGTTTGGCCTTGGCTCCTGATGAATCTTGGATGCCCAAAGGAGCTTTGTCGATTACTTTCCCCTGAATAGTAGTTGCCTACAATTATTAGCATTCATTTCAATTATGATATGACACTGAGTTTTCTTTTTAACTGCATCTGTTATGGAAGAAAGCACTGTATAAACTTTTAAAGATTTTTTCTTTGCCTCAATTTAGTAAAAGGAAGGTTGTTATAGAAATATTAAGACCATACATGGAAAACAATGTCAGAAATCTGATACTTAAAACATTCTGTTGGCCCTTGGATTTTATTGCAATTGTTTTGGAATATAATGCATACCATTTTATGCTTTGAATCATCTCTAGATAGGTGAACAAGATTGGTCTGATCAACATGCTTTGGTTGGACCTGACAAATAATGCAGTCTGGCCTCTTCCTACTTTGCACATACGTTCTTCTATCTCAGTAATCTATATGAGACTATTGTAGATACCCGTATCTCTTTATACTGTGGTAGATACTGATGTGAACTCCTCGTTACCAGAATCCAATTAACACTGAGAACTCTCCTGCGACCGCCCTTCCCTGGTGAGGCCGGGTGCTTAAGCTTCCGTTCCTCCGCTTATCCATTATCTATCCCCTTCTTTTATCCCCCTCACTACCCTTCCTCAACCGTATTTTTGCTTGGTCTTTTATGATATCCATACATAATTCTTGAGCACACTTGTATGCGTACTATCTTGCGACCTTGTCTCCTTGCCCATAGATGTCATATGTTGTAGTAATAAACTTTAGATTGCAGCTGAACTGTAAGTTACACTTGAACTTGGTAGTTGGCATATCTCTAACCTTTAAAAGGTGTCAACAAATCTTTCTTTTTATATAGTTTGAAAGTTCACAACTTCAGATTGAACTCCAAAGGGAACCACAGATTTGAAGCCTTTTTTATCATGATCGGCTGTTTTATTATGGTATATGTGACTGTCACGATTAGGGAAAGATGCTGAACTTGCATTTTTCTGCCATCGCAGAGCCTATCTTAGTTGTCTGTATGATGGAATGACTTGCTTGGCAGAGTACGCATCATCCGGAAAGATTGAATCTACTCTTACATCAAGCAAATGAGGACCATATCAACCACAATCCCTGCTCTTTTATAGGAGTCTCTCACACCAAACCATAGATCATGAAAGCAGATATGAATTTTAGCTTCTTCTTCCAAAGTCTTACCTGTTTCAAAATTCCATGGGCTTCTGTTACCAAGAATTCTCAATGCTACTTGACATGCAAACTTCAACCTAATAGCATAATCTTCCTTTCCAGTCCACAAAATGTGCTCTTCAAAACTGCTGCAACCTTGATCCTGTAGAGCCTGGATTCACGAAGATGAAGATGGGCAAAGCTCACTGGAAGTGATCCTACCCTTTTGCATAACAAGAAGGATATCTTTTGAGCCACTAACTCTCCAGGAGTGAAAATCATTATTATAAAAAAGAAATTTAATATCTCATGACCAACATGGGAAATGTAGCTCAAAATTAACCATGTCAACAGCAGCAATGAACACCATACCGAAATGTGATCTTCTTGATCCAATATGGAAAATTTTGTTGATTTTGCAATTCAAATATAAATTCTCACATTCTATATTTGCACTGAACAAGATTGCCTTGGCCTTGGGACTGAGTCACCAGAATAGTTTTGCTGTGGCCAGTATTGGGTTACAAACTGTCTTGGACTGATGGGAAGTTTCTGAGGTGAGAGTATCATATTCAACTCTTTGATTTCGTGGAGATTGCAGCCTCTCCACATCTCAAATAGACACAGCTTCCTTCCACCAAGAGAACAAATAAACACAACTTCCATCCCTAGCTTCCCTAGTGAATATACATGGTTTCCAACTGAAAAAATAGGTACCTTTTCACCTCTGAATCGAAGAAAAACTATAAACTGTTAGAAATGCCAAACCTCTACTGTATCACTATCTTCTATCATGGTTGCTAAAGAGGTTATAGCATTACAGAATACACTAACTATCATCCCTTGTGACAAGGATGGGAATATTTCATTCTTTTTGTGTGCAAACCAACTCACTACACTTATTGCAAAAGCAATATTAGGCTTATTGATGGTCAGATAAATTAGTGTGCCTACGAGTTTTCTGCACCTTCCTAGATCCTCAAACTACTTCCCATTATCAGCCAATAATTTTGTATTTGAATCCATAGGAGTCTCAACTGGTTTAGCACCTAATGTTCCAGTTTCTATCAACAAATCAGTCACGTACTTTTTTTGAGACAGTTTCTATCAACAAATCAGTCATATACTTTTTTGGAGACAAGTGAATTTCATGCTTTAATCTGGCTTTTATTCTCTCAACATTGCCATCAAGCTGATATTTTACTTCATAAACCCAACGACACCCAACTGTCCTTTTGTCTAGCTCATAATTCAGTGAGCTCACATGTATTCCATTCACCAATCCATGGAGTATTAGCCCTGTGATGCACAAAGTGCTTCAAGTGGACAAAGTGACCAGTATCCTCTATGCGAGCAGCAGACTCCTCCTAAATCTTGTGCATATTTGGAGGATGAGAACCTAGGAGGGTTACCAAGAAGAACAAGAAGAGTTTGGCATAATTGTCTAGCTACTTTAGGGTTATTTTTAATTGCTTTTATTTTTGGGACCAGTTGGGGAATTTGTGGTCATTTTATGGTCAAGGTCATTTATTTTAAAAGTCGCTTGAGTTGGGACTTTTTAGTCAATGTACTATTTGCACGGACACCTATTGTCTTTTGAACATTAAATAGAATATAAAAGTGGTACATGGGGCCTAAATGTCTCATCAACGTGGTTTGTTTCAAAGGCCCATCTTTTGAAATCCTAGCCTGGTTTGAAGAAATATCCTAGGTTCCTATAGTTTGTTGCTTTGTGTTTGGTTTAAATTACTATCGATTTTATGTTCTTCAAATTTCCTAGATCTATTTGGTATCAGAGCTTAGGTTTATTTAATAGCAAGGTGAGGAACCTACAACTAGGGGTGGCAATGGACCTGGACCCAACCCGGGACCCACGGGATAGACCTGCCTTGGGTCCAGCACTTGGACTTGGCGGGTAGGGTCCGGGTCCATCTCTAGGACCTGAAATAGACGCGGGTCAGGTACGGGTGCTGCCAATGGACAGGCTCAGTTTCGGGCCACTAACGGGCCAGCCAACGGGATGCTAACGGGTTCGGAGCCTCTAACGGACGGGCCACTATGGACACTGTTGTTAATGGGCCTCTAACGGGCCGGCTCAGAAAATTTGCCCAACAGGCATGATTGGCCCAGCCCATTTAGTTTTTTTTTTTTAATTTTAATCTTCACTCTTCAAGCTTTTTTTATTTATAGTATGCCAAAAAAAAATAATAATAGATATTAAAGTATTTTTTAGAAAACTTAAATTCCTCTCTCTTTAAAAATCCAATCTCTCTCTTTCTAAAACTCAATCTCTCTCAAAAAACCCAATATTTATTTCTATCTAAAAACCCAATATCTCTTTCTCTCTCTAAAAACCCAATCTCTCTTTTTATCTCTAAAAACCCATTCTTTCTAGAAATCTAATCTCTCTCTAAACTCATTCCTTCTCTTTCTAGAGATCCAATCTCTCTCTCTCTAAAAAACCATTTTCTTTTTCTCTTTAAAAATCCACTCTCTGAAAATCTCTCTCAAAACCCAATCTCTCTCTCTAAACCCTAACTTTCTAAACCTAATTTTTTGTCACCTCTCTGCTCTCTCCAATCTCCAACCCATTCTTAAGGTTCCATCTCTCTCTCTCTC